TTAATACATTTTTGGGTAAGGTTTTACAGATTAAATGTCAAGAAAAAAATTAACCGTGTCTTTTATACAAATGTAAAATTCATATAAATTAAAAACGTGCCGTTTATTTCCCTGCTATAAAACGACAGGTATTAAAAAAAACAGATCCGATTACCAAGATTGTGAGGAGAATATACTGACGTGTGTAGTAAAATATCTTCCTTTGTTCTGATGACTATGCAAAGTCACTTCTCTAAAGCAGTGAGCTAGGGTTACCGCTACAGGAAATGAGTCGGGAGGACCACGTGCGTTCTGGAGAAACTTGATGAATACCAGTGCTCTTGTGTCAAGAGGTTTAAAGCTTAAGTTCCTCATGACTAAGCTTAAGTGGTTCATGAGCATAACCAGCCTGAAACTGAGAAGTGTTTTACCCAATTCGGATTTGTCTGAATTAAAATTTTGTAATAATATGCTAGACTTGGATACTCTCACTTCTTAAAATGAATGTCATCACTTGGTTTTTGTGTTATTTTACAATGTACGTGAGTGGTTTTAGTTTTTTGTAGTTCTTTTCTTTTAAAAGTTGATGTAATTAAGGAATGCAGGCTCACTGTAATAAAACCGTAAAGCCCCAGACAAAGGCAGACCAATGAGACAAAGGCAGATCTGTTTCGTCAGCTGTTTGTGTGGTCAGGGGTTTGTGTGGTCAGGGGTTTTTGCGACAATAGCAGTTTCTGATCTGCAGTAGAGGCATTTTCCATCAGTGATTGAATGCATAAATAAAAAAATTGCTTTGGTACAAAAACATTCCATTCATGTACTGTATATTAACATGCTCATCAAAGAGTCCTTTGTTGGCTTAATAAACTAGTAAAAGTGGTTTTATTTTGAGAACGTGCACAACTGAATGGCTAAATCATTATATGCAATTATAGAATGTTGACCTAAGGTGTGCTATGTCTACAAATCTTATAAATCACTCGTCTCTTCACAGCGGGAGTGCATCTCTATCCACGTTGGTCAAGCTGGAGTCCAGATTGGCAATGCCTGCTGGGAACTCTATTGTCTTGAGCACGGCATACAGCCAGATGGGAAGATGCCCAGCGACAAGACAATTGGAGGAGGTGATGACTCCTTCAACACCTTCTTCAGTGAGACTGGAGCTGGAAAGCATGTCCCCAGGGCTGTGTTTGTAGACCTGGAGCCCACTGTCATTGGTAAGAGGATGGGACTTGATTTTAGTTATGATAATTGTGTATTTCAAAGTGCTCCGTTCTCTAAACATTTTTTAATGACCCATCTGTGCAGATGAGGTGCGCACTGGTACATACCGTCAGCTGTTCCACCCTGAGCAGCTCATCACTGGAAAGGAAGATGCTGCCAATAACTACGCCCGTGGTCACTACACTATTGGAAAGGAAATCATTGATCTTGTTTTGGACAGAATTCGCAAACTGGTTGGTCATTAATTTAATAACTCCTTTAAAGTTAAGTGGCGTTAAATTGAGTAATTAAAACATTAAAAAACTTGATTGCCTTTTTAACATGAATCATGTCTTTCAGGCTGACCAGTGTACAGGTCTCCAGGGTTTCCTGGTGTTCCACAGCTTTGGAGGTGGAACCGGTTCTGGCTTCACCTCTCTGCTGATGGAGCGTCTGTCTGTGGACTATGGCAAGAAGTCCAAGCTAGAGTTCTCCATCTACCCCGCTCCTCAGGTCTCCACCGCTGTGGTAGAGCCTTACAACTCAGTCCTGACCACCCACACTACCCTAGAGCACTCTGACTGCGCCTTCATGGTAGACAATGAGGCCATTTACGATATCTGCCGTAGGAACCTCGATGTTGAGCGTCCTACTTACACCAACCTCAACAGGCTGATCAGTCAGATTGTGTCCTCCATCACAGCTTCCCTCAGGTTTGATGGTGCCCTCAATGTCGATCTCACCGAGTTCCAGACCAACTTGGTGCCCTATCCTCGTATCCACTTCCCATTGGCTACCTATGCCCCAGTGATCTCCGCAGAGAAGGCTTACCATGAGCAGCTCTCTGTGTCTGAAATCACTAATGCTTGCTTCGAGCCAGCCAATCAGTTGGTGAAATGTGACCCACGTCACGGCAAGTACATGGCTTGCTGCCTGCTGTACCGTGGTGACGTGGTGCCCAAAGACGTGAACGCCGCAATCGCCACCATCAAGACCAAGCGCACCATCCAGTTTGTGGACTGGTGTCCCACTGGTTTCAAGGTTGGCATCAACTACCAGCCTCCCACTGTGGTTCCAGGTGGGGATCTCGCTAAAGTGCAGAGGGCCGTGTGCATGCTGAGTAACACCACAGCTATTGCTGAGGCCTGGGCTCGCCTCAATCATAAGTTCGATCTGATGTACGCCAAGCGTGCCTTTGTGCACTGGTATGTGGGTGAGGGTATGGAGGAGGGCGAGTTCTCAGAGGCCAGAGAGGACATGGCTGCCCTGGAGAAAGATTACGAGGAGGTTGGGGCTGAGAGTGTGGAAGGAGAAGATGAGGGTGAAGAATATTAGAAATGCTTTTCACTTCCACTGCCTGTTCAGTTTCCTGTCCATTGTCATTTTTGTGTGTTTCTCTTCCTCACTTTCCAGTCGTCATCTGGTTAAAAGGTCAATCTTGCATTCTATGCTCTTAAAAGTAATAAAATGTTGCGATATTTATATTTTCTCTTGTGTTTCTTCTTGACCTGATGATCCTGTACTTTATCCAGTTATTTTGTATACTGTTAGCATTTGAAGTGGATCAAAAAAGTTCAAGAGTTTTTGGTTTTAGGACAACTTTCATAGGTTTTGATCCACGTCAAATGCTGACTAGTGTAGTTCTTATTTATATTTTCTCTTGTGTTTCTTCTTGACCTGATGATCCTGTACTTTATCCAGTTATTTTGTATACTGTTAGCATTTGAAGTGGATCAAAAAAGTTCAAGAGTTTTAGGACAACTTTCATAGGTTTTGATCCACGTCAAATGCTGACTAGTGTAGTTCCTCTCTAAATTGCTCCGTTAATCTGATGAGATAAATTTAACACTACTGCCACTAGGGATGCAGCGATTAACCGCGCTTTAAAACGTCACGGTTAATTAATCGTAAAGGTTCCGCTACACCGAGTGTTTCTGTTACACTGAACGGTGTTGCAGCTTGAGCGAAACGAAAACAAAGTTACACTAGCGGTGCACCAGCTGAAAATGATGTGCTTATCAGAGGCACGGGGGCTACTACATGCATTAGATGAACTGTGACAGAGGAACCAAACAGCAAAGATTTATTTCCACTAGAGAAACGCCTGTCCATAGTGTGGGACCATTTTGGGTACACCAAGAATGACCAGGGTGTCATTTAAATATTGCTGAAAAAACCTGCTGCTAAAGAGCGAATACATAAGGGATAATGCACGGCTTGCTGTACATTTAACGATTTTAATGCACAACGTGAAGACAAGAACCACCTGACACAAAGCTACAGCTCGTTAGCTCAGCATTCAGATCAGAAAGAGATGAAATAGTGCGGTAAAATCACATTTATTTGAATTAATTAATTATAACATTTAGCTACTTGAATTCATTATTCGAGAGAGAGAGAGAGAGAGGTGACAGTTGGCTGTGTGAATTAGCCTATCTGCGTCTGTGCGTCTCTCCAGTAGGCTATTAATCTATTTTATTAATAAAAGTCACGAGGCAGCATTCTCCAGAAGTTTGTGTCCTCCTGAATGTTTGTACACGTGTG